GTATATTTATATATATAGACCCACACAAACACCAGCGCGCGCAGCGAGAAGTGAAACAGAAACAGCAACAGCAAAAACAACAACAACAGCAACAAGAGGAGCAGCAACGTTTTAGTGATGTCATCAGAAAGTAAGTTTGCGTTTTTTGTTTTTGTTGTTTTCTTCATTTTGTTGTTGTTTTGTTTGCCTATAACACAACGTCGTCATGACGTCATTTCATAAAAATACACACAACAGTTGAGACAGTATGGCCGTTGCTGTTAGTGTTGTTGTTGTTGTTGTTGTTTTGTCGTTGTCATCGTCGTCGTCATTTTTGTAGCAAGCAAACAAAACAAACCAAACAACAGTTGTAAAGGCAGCAGCCGCAGCAGCAACAGCAGTGACAGTGACAGTCAACGTGTGTTGGTGTGTGTGTGTGTGTGTTATTTGTTTGTTTGTTTCTGTTTTTGTTGTTGTTGGAACGAACAATTAACAATTAGCAATTACCAATCAAGCAATATTGTAACCAAAAACCAATGAAACCAATTTTGTGCACATCTCTCTCTCTTTCTCTCCCTCTCTTGTTCTCTCTTTTTCTCCCTCTCTATTTCTCTCTTTCTATTTCTGTTTTTTTTTTTCTACGCTGTTCCTGTCTTTCTACTGCGTGTGTGTGTGTGYGCGCGCGGCCCATCTTTTTCATTGCTTTGGCAACCGACCGAACGGCCGTCCGTCCATTCGCCCAACCGTCCGCGCGCCTGCCTTCATTTGGTCCTGGATTGTGCAGTCGTCGTCCAGCATCCATCAACTTCAAACTGGCAAAATTGAAACGGAAAAGACGCCAAACTGAAGCACTTGTCGGAGAGCGTAACGGTGCTGCTGAAAATCGCTAAAATGGACAGCATCGTCGAGGAGAACGGCAACTCGGCCTCCAGCGGTAATGTGAACGACGTCAACGATGTCACATCAGCAGCGGCCGTCGCCGCCGCTGCCGCCGCCGCAGCAGCAGCAGTGGCAGCAACAGGCGGCCAACAGCAACAGCAGCAGCAGCAGCAAACACAACAAAACCAGCAAAGTACAACGAGCGGCGTTCCAGCGACGGCCAACACAAACAACGCCAGCGGCGCGGCATCCGTGCTGACAACGACCGCCAACTGCAATATCCCCTACCCGATGCAGACGCTCGTGCAGCACGGCCTGCAGGTGAGTCCCGCTCCAGTCCTGCTCCGCACCAGCCCCCTCCTCGCGCACCATGGGCCCCATGCGCAAACCATCAAGCAAAATGCACTACAGTGCGAAAAGGAGTCGGAATATATATAGAGAATATAGTGTGTATATAGGCTATACAAATGGGAGATCTATAGCATCGGAATATATAGCATATAGTGCCATATATTGCCTATATGTGAGATCGTTGGCAGAGGAATGAGAATACATATGTATAGAGTATATATCTATATATAAGACAGATTTAAATATATACATTCATATAAGTTTATAGACATAGGAGTTTTAATAGTAAATAATTACTATAATTATTATCGATTGTATTATTGATAGAATTTTGGAAGCAGTTAGTATTAGTATATATATTAGCATTATAAACTTGACAATTATTTATAATATAGTCATATATTACTTGATAATTGGCTAAAGAAACTTAAGAACTTTTATGGATTCATATTTCATATTGAATTCAATACCCCTTGAAGCTAGAGCTCCAGAGTTTTGCCCCTTCTCCACTTCAGAAGGCTGGAACATGCAACAGCGAATCACATAAGACTCGACAATCGAATCAGTTCAAGCCGAATTGTAGATGTACTTAAAAACTAGTTCATTCAATGAATCAAGAAATGCATGAAGAGCCTTTAGAATTGTTGCTATTCCAATATATATAGAATCAAAGTATCTAAAAGGGTTTTACTAATTTCTTGACTTGACAACACTTAGTAAAACGCAAGAGACGCTTGAAGCGCATGAGAATTAAGGCAAGTAGAATAGAGTAGAATGTTAAGTACCAGTGAGTTATTAAATTGGTATTAGCTATGATAGCTTAAAACGCTTCTAAAGCCTATAACACTCCAGTACTTCAAAGCGTATCATGAAACGTATATAAGTAGAAAGAAGTTTTGAACAGTGGGGCTGTTCCGACCGATAAACGCCCCGGGTTTCGGCTAGTCACACCTTTTCGTTTATATTTAGGCTTAATGCTAGGCTCCCATCAAAATTATTCATTAACTGAAGATAATTAGATCGGGCGAATAGCAACGACGCCTGGAGGCTCGAGATGGGTGTTCGCTTATAAAGTTTTATGAGTCACAAACTCGTATTTAAATGTTGCGCATTCGTAAAGGTTTTTTTTTTTTTTTATTGTTGTTTGTCTCTTCTATCTCGCTCGCTGTTGAAAATTTGATATGGGAATCTATTTGAACTTGGCTCGAACCCGGGCCAGCTGACAATATCGATACTAATCATTTATTTAAACACACACACACGAGAGCAATTAAGTAATGGTGGCTTAACCCCAGCCGAAAGCTTGCTAATGGAATGCGCAGTGTGGCCTCTCATGCTCTGCTCCGTCATTAACTTGACTCAATTTCATCTCAATCCATGATGGCTAATTGTGTTTTCGATTCGTGCAGGTGCAATCCGTGATACAGGCGGCCAATCATTCGGGTGTCATACAGACCGCTGCCGGCACACAACAACAGCAGCAGCAGCAGCAGCAACAGCAGCAACAACAGCAACAGCAGCAGCAACAACAGCAGCAGCAACAACAACAGCAGCAGGCGCTGGTCGCCGCATCGGCGATACACAAAGGCGGCACCAGCGTCGTCTATATGACAAAGCCGGCCAACACGACGGTCATCCATACGACCACGAGCAACGCAGTGCAAGTGCGTAACAAAGTGCGTAGCAGTTGCTGAAGTAAAGCAGACATTACAACACCCACACACACACACGCACACACACACACATATGCAATTCACTCTCACACACACAGAGTCAGTCGAATGTATTAATTAGCTTTACATCATTCCTTTCAGATCCCTCCAAATTTTCAATGTAAGATCAAACCCGAACCGACTACCCAGCATCCGGAGGACAGCGACGACAGTTTATCGGACGATGACTCGCAGCATCATCGCAGCAATCTGACACGAAGGCCATCGTACAATAAGATCTTCACCGAAATCAGTGGACCCGACATGAGCGGTAATTTCTCCCACTACTTTGCGCTTGCTTCCTCAGCGAACAATTGTGCGCCACAGACTTTGTCTCGCTCTATCACTCTCCCTCTCTCTCTCTATCCCTATACCTTCCCAATTGTCCTGCTCTGTTTCTGTTCGCGCTCTTGCTGCTAAATCATTGTCCAGTGCTTGGCTTAACTTGAATTTCTTGAGCACAGCACCAGCGAAAAATCATCAGCAACCATAGTAGGACACTCTATTATATCACTCTATTATATCATTAAAACACACGCTCAGTTGGGACTATGTAGACTAGTTGAAATGAAACAGAAGACAGAAACAGAAGCATATCTAATGAAAGGAGAATGAATGACTGAATAAGTCCTGTCAAATAGATTTTTAAGAAAGGAGAACAGCTTAGTAGAGAATGCTGTTAACTGTGTAACATAGCTATAACATTACCATAACATTAGGTAAGCTCTTTAGCAGGCTTTTCAATAATATTGATTATTATTAGGCAATTGTGCGAATGTAATAGATGAGCTCATATGTCTGAAAGCTTACGTAAATTGAATACCAACATATAGCTTATATAGAATGTTATTAGGCAGCTCTAATGCCATAGTTTAAGCAAAAAGGCCAATGTAATAGGCGAGCTAATGGGTTTGGAAAGTTTCTGTTCATGTAAATCGAAATGCCATAGAGCACCAAATGTTAGATAAAACAATCTGTTCAATCTGTTCGATTTCAAAGGAATATTAAGATTGAAAAATTATTTATTTTTGTAATTTTGTAATCTCAACTTAGAAACATGTGCGCTTCAGTGTTGGTGGAAAAGAAATTAAACAAATTTAATATTGAAAAGGAAACTAAGTTCATGATATACTAAATTTAGTTAAATTATCTTTCAATTAGTTGAGGCAACTTAGACTTATGTATAAAATAGATAGTTGTAGTTCCTTCAGAATACCAAAGCACCAAATTTGTTTAATTTCTCTCACTCTTTCTTATGCTTATACAATGAAGCAGCTTAATTTGTAAAATTTATGTTAGTAAAATATCTATATATGTATATAAATATATATAGTAGTACTTTGCAAACTGACTTTAAATGGAAGCTTGGTATTTGAGATTATGCCATAAGAGATATATATATATATATATATTCCGTATAAAGTCAGTATCTTATGGCATAATCTCAAATCCCCAGATTCCGTATAAAGTCAGTTTGCAAAGTATTATCAATAGTTATGCTTTAGTTAGCTAAGACCCAACTCTATTTCCCTCTCTTTCATGTCCTCATGCTCATGTTTCATGTTCACTTCATAGTTCATTCCCTTGTATCTAATATTTTATATCCAATTTAGTTGTGCGTTTACTGTTATTGTCTATAGGCATTATCCATCCATCCATCAATCAATCTCAATCAATCACACGGCTGTTTTTGCTTCAAAGTTATTTCATAGTTAATATTATCTATCTCTTTTCCTCTCTAACTATCTCGCTCTATCTCATGCACACATTAGCTGTTGTTATTATTGTTGTTGTTGTTGTTGCTGTTGCTTCAAGCAGACGAACAACTTCTGAATTGTGTACATACATATATAAAACTGATTAGGATAACGCGCATCAAAAGTCTTAATGTTATAACTGTAAATACAAATACTAAATAATCACACACACACACACACACACATTTTGCATAATTTTTCGTTTGTTGAGTTTGAGGCGTGTCTCTAGCCTTTGTTGTTGCTGCTGCTGCTGTTGTTGTTGTTGTTGCCGTTGATTTCTTATGCTGCTCTCGCCATACACACACACACACATCACATACATTCGCTCATTCAGTTTAGGTCAAACGCACAACAAACATTCAACATTCAACAGGAAACAAACCTCAAACACTTTCATCTTCCATCTCATTTGTACTTATATAACAAACGTCGCCCGTTGCCGTCGCCGTTGCTGTTGTTCGAAACTAACAAATAATATATATATATCGCCTCTCGCTCGCTCGATCGTTCGCCCGCTCGCTCACTCGCACCCACCCCACAAAGAGCCACCCACTGACACCACCGACACCGACACTCACAATGAACAACAACAAATTCGCAAAATTGAAATTTGAAATTTGACATTCGAAACAAAGAAAAAAACAAAACAAAAATGTGATTTCTTATAATTTTTATTGTTTTTTTTTGTTTGTTTTCTTTTTTTACTGCTCGCGAAAATGCCACATTAAAAAAAACCAAAAAAAAAAAAAAAAAAAATCAAATACGATCGCATCGAAAACCAACATGACAACAACAACAACAACTACAACCAACAACAACAACCAACAACAACCCCCCCTCAACCATATCCCAAAAATAAAATTCAAAAATCGTATATCGTATGCCGAATATCGTATACCGAATATCGTCAACCTGATGATGCAGCGAGTGGAGCACTGCAAATGTCCGACAGCAACGTTCTCAGCTCTCAGCTGAGTAGCGGGGCGGGGGGCGGCGGCGGCGGCAACATAGCGGGCAGTCCACTGCTGCACATGGCGTCGGACCCGGGCTACTTTCTATCCAGTCGGATAGCATACAATACCAGTAAATGCCACAAAATGAAAAAAAAAAAAGAAAAGAAACAAACAAAATTTATAACTGAGCCAAATACTTATACTCTTCTTTCTTCTTCTTCTTCTTCTCTCTCTTCCACTCTCTGTGTCGGCACTTCTTAGATAACAGTGGCATTCCGGAGGATCAGACACGCAAGCGAGAGATTCGACTGCAAAAGAATCGAGAGGCGGCGCGCGAATGCCGGCGCAAGAAGAAGGAGTATATTAAGTGCCTGGAGAATCGTGTGGCGGTGCTAGAGAACCAAAACAAAGCGCTCATCGAGGAGCTCAAGTCGCTGAAAGAGCTTTATTGTCAGACCAAGAACGATTGAACGTGGAGCCGATGCTGGCATAGGCAGCAGCAGCAGCCGCAGCCGCAGCAGCAGCAGAAGCAGCAGCAGCAGTTGTTGCTGACAGCAGCAATAGCAACAGCAGCGGCAACAATGGCAGCAGCAACTGTTGTAGCTTTATGTCTACACTGGCCTGGCAACAACATCGACACGGAGGAGTATGCTAGTTGGCAGCAGGATGCGAACAGGAGCAAGGACACAAACTGGAGCAGGGACGATGACGACTGCAATTGGCCGCATATCATGATTAGCATACAAACTAAGCAAACACTTATGTAGTATAATTGCCGTTGTTGTTGTTGCTGTTGCTGTTGTTGTTGCCATACACACACACACACACACACACACAAATACACACAGACACACACACACATCGAGTGCTGGTCATGTGCGCTGCGCGCACTTGTTGACCAAATGTTGTGCATCAACATTTAGCAACACAACAAGCGGCAAACAGCGAACAAACACTCAACACACACACACACACACACACACACACACCTACACACACAATGTAATTATGTTTATAATTTAAATGTGTAATATTATTTTAAAGCTTATGTTTATGCTTTAGTTATATTTTATAATTAAATTATACTACACAGTAATTTATACTGTTATTATTTGTATTTTACAATTCTCTTCCCTTTTTTTTTTTTTTTCTTCATATATGTATATAAACACATATATATACACTACTTTGTTATATATTAAGGAGAAATCTTGAATTTAGTGCATTGTGCGAGAAAACAGTAAAATTTAGAGGAAAACCCCATAAATTAAATGTGTTTAGCTAAATTTTTATGAAACAGCAATTAGCGAAATTCTTACACCAGCCCCCCTTCAAAATGTAACACAGCAAAAAAAAAAAAAAAAAAAAAAAAAAAAGCAGCATATATATATGTATGTATTTATGTATTTATGCACATTCTTTTAAGTTTTGTTACATAATTTTAAATATGGCCGTTTCATTC